GCCTGCAGTTCTGAAATCCTCCTGGTCTCCGGCGGTGTAAAGTTTTCCTTCTTCCCGGGTTTTGGCACCAGATGTCCTGCGCTCGGCCTCGCCTGCAAGAACCACGCGGGACACAGAATCCTTCTGTAGAAATAGCTTTAATCTTCTTGGGAGCTAGAGCATAAGCCACATGGCGGAGACCCAGATATGATGGAACCCATCCCTTATATAGGAAACAGACCCTGCTTCGGACGTGTCACTCTTGGATTGGTCCGCTGCTCCCAGTCCCAGATGATGCCTCGGGAATAGGCGGGGACACAGAAGTGGAAAGATACCAACACGTATGCGTTCACCTGGCGGTGAAGCCGGATGTCAGCGCCATCTTGATGATGGAAAATGTGGCTGCGGCCTTCTACAACCAGTATTTATCCCTAGTGTATGATCTGGCTCTTTGGAGCCCATTCCCTATGGAGGGATACTCTGTTCAGCCTAGACACAGGGTGGAGGGCCTTGGTTCTGCCTCAAGTGACAGACTTTGTTGACTCCCCATGGGATGAAGGAGAATGTGAATAAATTAATTCCACACTAGCTCAGAACTAAGTATAATAAAGGGTTCTTTATTTAAGGGGGACTCACAACAGATCACAGTCCTCTTCATAAATGGGGAGCAGGAACTGAATCCAGCACCCAGGTAAAAGAGGAGAGAGAAAAAAAGATGTCCACCTTTTTGGTACCCAAGGCCATACCCAACCTGGTCCAGTCTCTCAAAGGCCACTGACTGAAGGAGGTTCCCTATCACCTTCCCCCTTTGTCTAAATAAGAGAGTTCCAAACCCAATACAAAACTATATACAATAAGAACAGATATCAAGTATAAAAATTAGAATTACAATCAGCATAAACAATATTAAATAAGAAACATAGGCTAAATGTTTCAATAATTATTTTATCCTAAGGAGTTTAAGAGTTATATAGAAATGGCTTGAATAAGTCATACGAGGAAAGTAACTACAACTATCTTGTCTTCAACCCCACCAAAGACCTGAGAAGGAAAATAATATTACTTGAGTAGGCAGGAAGTGCAATCAATCAGCTTTCAAAATGTTCAGTAGGTGACAGAGACAATTGGCTGCCTGGGCAATCACCCAAAGTCTCATTTGCAATGTTGGAGCAACCAACTTTGGCTAAGGCCTTGAGTAACTGACAGACCATTTTCAGAGGCAGGAAAGTTGTCAAAATCATCTTACCCTATCTTGGCAAGGTTTGGCAGCCTTTTTTCTTGTATCCTGCTTGTCCAGTTTGGACACTGTGTATTTTGTTAGTGGTCGAGGTATGGGCTTGTCCAAAGGCCAGTTTTTCCAAGAAGAAAATAAGCTCCAAGCAGAGTGTCTTCAGTGCTCCACATTCTTTCAGGAGTAGATTGGTGCTGCCAGGAGCAATCGTATCTCACATCCACAGAACCCTAAGTTATTTAAATGCCATATTCTACAGTTCTTTGAAGTGGTTGATGATTACCTATCTATGTAGAATACAATCTCTATGTATCTAAAGAACCTGATTAGTCTAACTATAAGTATGACAAACATAGATGACTATTACCTATAATTCTTAATACCTGTATAGCTTAAAGACTAAGACTTCATATTAGAATATTAATCAATCTTTAACAACTGTGCAGCAAATGAGGACAATGACCTCAAAATGTAAACAAAGTATAAGTATCTTGACCAGAGGTAGAAATGTATATTGCAATATGATAAATATATCCTAAAATTGTATCAGTGTATAAAATGTCTTAAATAGAGGTAGAAGCATGCATACAAATCTGACAAAATAACTTTGCATAGATGTATAAAACTTTTCCCGTGTGGTGCTTTTAAATGTTTACTTATTTGTCTCTTTGATTCATAAGAGAATCTTATAGAGAAAACAAAACAAAACAAAACAAAACAAAAAAACATTCCACAGAGTTTCTATTCTAGACTAGAATCTTTTGGCTTGAAGGGTGGAGGAGCACAGGCACCAAGAATTTGCAAAAATCCCCAATGCTCAATATTTATGGGCTAATGCTCAAAGATGGAGGAGCCAGGGCTAATGCTCAAAGACTACTGACCTCCTAATACATTTGAAAGTTTTCCTGAGAACTCTAAATGTCTGAGACCTCTCCCTTTCCCCAGGAAAGACTGCTACATTCTAAGGGATGTAGGGTTATGTTGGGGTTCGGGTTCGGGTTAGGTTTTGGGTTAGGGTTAGGATTAGGGTTAGGGTTAGTTAATTAAGTTAACTTCCTTAGTTAGGTTATGGAACTCTGTGTTCCACATATTAGAATCCTACTGTAGGACATTTCATCTAGTATTTTTTAAAAATAGTGCTTCACCAAATAACAGACTGGGACCGTCAGGTTCTAAGTAATAAGAGCCAGAAGAAGAAGAAGCATATACTAAGAACCATGAGATACATCATTTTGGTATAAACACATGGATAGTGACATCATTTCCATATAAACAAATGGGTAATGGCAGTGACTATCACCTGACACAGCAAATTAAAATAAAACCCTTGTCCCACTCCACCAGCTTCCTATTTTATTTCTTTTCTACTCTAGACAGACACGCCTGTGTCTGTGACCTTCCCATAGCACACAGCACACTCATTAGCACCTTCCTGCCTGCAATGCCCTTCTTACATCCCACCTCCAACGTTGGTATTTAAACCCTCCTACCAGAAACAATTAAGAGGTGGAGACTTTTGCCTGCTGTTCCCCACATAATGTGGCATGGCGTTGGGCTTCCATATACTTAGGGTGAAAGAGAATAAGACACTGTCCCAGTGACCGGGGCACCAGATTAGAACTCAGACCAGGGCTCTCTCTTTTTTTTAACATTCTGCTTTCACTCCACACCCCCGAACTCATGCTGCAGTAATAGCTACACTTGACAGGGTTTGTTGATTGACTGTTAAAGAGATAGAATCATCAAGGGCAAATATGATTGCATCTTAATATTTATTCCCCGTGATATTTAAGATAGTGTCCTGGCATAAAATAGATGTTTGTTAAATATTTGTGTTCCACTTCATTAGATTTAAACCTACTTTGCTTCCTTTCCTTCTTCTAGGGTGTAGGATGGTATCTCACAATGCCCCTACCTCCAGGGGGAAGGCAAGCATCCTGGCTGTTACGATGTTTACCAGCTTCTCCTAAACAGACTTTTCAGGTAAAGTTTGCTTTAGGTGTTCTGGTATGTTCAACTTACCACCACGCATCAGGAGCTTCGAGTCTATCAGGCACCCACACTTCACATCAAACTAAATTTAGTTGTGGCCATATAAGCAGATGCATGAATTTCAGGTACAAGGAAAATTGAGTACGACATTTCCAGAATTGGCCTTCGAATAGTCCAGTCTACGGGTAAGATGAGGGAAGAGCGCTGCGGCTGAATTGTCATTGAGATACAGGAAACACTAGATGACAGGTGCCTGGTCCCTTTCACAAATGCCAAGAGCCGAACCTCCTCCCCGGGTCTCAACCATCTCACAGCACTTTGCAAACGGTATGAAAAGGCCTTTCTTTACCTTTACCAGTCCAGGCACACTAATTAGCGCTTCTCGTGGTGTCTAAGTGAGAACCCCTGAGCCTACTCTGGTGCTGAGGCTGAACATTCTGAACCTCTCAACGCCCACACATCCAGTGAGCGGCTGGTAGAATACTAGCCTGGTATCCTCCCCTTCTGCTCCTCCGCTGATTTCATGAGTCTCCAACCTCCCTCCCAGACACAATCACTTGCCTTCGCTTCTAGCTCAGGGTAGATTCTTTTTAGAAACAAATCACATTATAGTTTATGGCAAATAGCCATTGACGCAAGCCTCCCCTGACAGTTCTTTCTTTGATTTCCAACATATATTTACAACGAATGACATTTAACAGCAAGTTAATGCCTATTAAAGGAATGCCTGTCACATATGCTCGGCCTTGAGTCATTTATTCTTTAAGTCTGAGCAGTGAGATTTTGCAGAGTGATTTTGATAATGTTTGATAAAACATTGTGACATTTACTAGCTGGTTCTGTTTTGTAGGCCTTTCTGGTCTTCTCCAGTCACTTTGCTCTTAATGCTTTAAGGTGGAAATGCCCAGAAGAAATGTAGCGCGGGTCACATTTGTAACGTGCGAAATTAACATACTTAACTAACGTAGCTTAATTATTACATTTTTTTAAAAAAAATTAAATCTTCTAGATGTGGTGTGCACACTGGCAACTCATGTCTCTTCAGATCAGAAGACCATGCAGCGGCACAGCCCCCTTCACACAGCACCATCTTGGTGGAGCCAAAAGGCTTCCTTCGGAGTCCACTGTCCTCGGTGCTCTCTCTGGTCGGCCTTGGCTGTCGCGAGGGCAAGCCAGAGGGAACCAGCCCGCTTGGCCAACCGGGCGCTGTGGGTG